TATATATATATATATATATATATATATATATATATATATATATATATATATATATATATATATATATATATATATATATATATATATATATATATATATATATATATATATATATATATATATATATATATATATATATATATATATATATATATATATATATATATATATATATATATATAGATATATATAGATATATATAGAACATTTATTTAGATCTGGACAAACAGTATTGTTGTTCCTTATAACTGATGCATAAAATAACAATACTTTATTTAGAGATGATACAAAAATATTGTTTAAAGTGGTGGCAGTTTAGTTCTAGAGGAGGATGTCTGGCTGAGAATCTTTTGCTTGAGTCTCTGGATTTCCATTCGCTGAACCTGGATGACCTTCTCTGTTTCTTCAAAATTCTGCTGCATCATCAAGCTGGTCCTGCCTGCTGAATCTGTACCTAAGTCTCCAACATGAACAAAAATAAAAGTCAGTGTTTACATGGTCCATGATAATCAATGAGCAATTTGTTTATATTCTGAAAGAGTAACAGTTGTAAAAGTACAGAATGCAAAATTATTACACCAAAAGTATCAAAATTAATCAAATGGGTCACCTTTTGTGTTAGCAGAGCCCTTGATGTGTTTGTTTAAGCTGCTTTGACTCTCAAAGCTGCGCAGCTGCATTCGGACTGTGTGGAGCTCTTGACGCAGATCATTTATCTCTTTCATAAGCGTAACATTGTCCTGGATATAGGTGACAAAAGTGAATTCTTACACACAAACAGAAACCCTCTGATACATTTAAGTGTGTATATATGTTAATAATTATTTGCATGATCTAAGCATTAAATGTGCAGTAGGTGATCTGCCAAAATGCTAACCGCTTAGCATATTATCTTTGGACAGTGGGGAGGGACTGTGTTTCAAAGCCAAACCTCCTGATATTGTAAATGCGCACACTGTGACACGACAGCAGACAAGGCACTAGTTCATGTCATGTCATGCCAGTAAGAAATGTAGCTAGTGTTTGGCCGGCGGCATGCAGGAATTTAAGTTATTACTAAGCCACACTTACATGCTATTTCAGAGTGAATATTTAGAGTAGCATGGTAAACAGTATAGGGAGGCTCTTATTGTTAAAAAATGAACCAATGTGAATATAAAAGCAACTTCAGCTCAGTAAAGCAGGCTAGGCGGAATAACGCTATTTACTGATGTTCTGTTGTTTAACTAAATAAAAACCTACATTATCAATACTGTCAAAGGTCCATTATGAAACTAAAAATAGTCCATCAATCTTTCACCGGGAGATTTCAGTGGCTGAAAAACACGTCTGTGTATATAACTCAGTCATAACACACACTCTACATCAGCTTTGCGTGACTAAACTGTTTTAACTGTTTTTTACTTATCGGAATTATGGGATATGTCGGACCCACAATATTTAATTGGATGAACATTTTTTAGTTTTATGTCCTACCCAGAATGTTAAAAAATAAATATAAACAAATTTTCTATTAATTAATTTTCTTTCTGCTTAGTCCCTTTATTCATCTGGAGTCGCCTCAGAGGAATAAACTGCCAACTTATCAAGCATATGTTTTACACAGCTGATGCCCTTCCAGCTGCAACCCATCACTAGGAAACTTCCACACACACTCAATCACACTCATACACTACGGACAATTTAGTCTACCCAATTCACCTGTACTGCATGTCTTTAGACTGTTGGGGAAACCGGAGCACCCAGAGGAAACCCATGCGAAGGCAGGGAGAACATGCAAACTCCGCACAGAAATGCCAACTGACCCAGCCGAGGCTCGAAACAGCGACCTTCTTGCTGTGAAGAGACAGCACTACCTACCACTGCATCACCACATAAACACAATTAGATCATTTAATTTAATCATTGCCAATGGACTGTGAAGAGACTTTTAACCAGCACGACAAAATCTGTTTCTTAAGACAATCACCTACTGCACCTTTAACATATGCAGACATCTAAATTGTTACCCCTTGGGTTACACAGATTTCTCTTTGCTTGTGAACAGCCTGCTTTTTGTCAGCTTATTATAGATGCATATATTAATGTAATTAATATGTTCTCACATTAGATTAATATAAAATTTTACATTTATACTTATTGCATGAATGGCAAATAATTTTATTTTAGAAACTTAGAAACACCCTTAAAAGAAAATGGCACTGATGCAATGTAACTTTTATTTGCAAGATATAATCTGGGATTTTTACACCATAACACACTACTTTTGAGTTATTTTAAAATGGTAACTTATATTCATACTTTGAGTAGTATTTACAACATATTTTTAGTCTGACTACATTTTTTGGCAAGTAATGGCCTATTTACTTAATAATGATTCGTCATTACTTTTTTCCACCACTGATAAAATAGCATGCATATCCATCATGTCATTTTGTGATTGTCATTTTGTGATTCTAAAGATTTTATGATCTTATGAGCATCCATGAAGTGTTGTCAACTTTTTAAAAAATCTTTAATCTTCTACCAGTAGAGGTGTGAACCTAGACTGCTCTCATGGTTCGAATTGGTACAATTCGATATCTCTGTGCATAACGGTGCATTGACTTTCCATAATGTTTTATATTGGTGGGGGGGCATAACAAGCTGTCTGAATAAACACACACACACTTAGACACAGCACCAAGCAAGCGGCACACAGCATCACTCTCTCTTATTCACACACATACACACACACACACACACACACATAGACAGCACCAAACAAACAAGTGATACACAGCATCACTTTCTCTCTTATTCACACACACACACACACACACACACACACACACACACACACACACACACACACACACACACACACGTGCTTGTCCAGAGAGAGGGAGAGATAAATGGAGTTTACCTTCATTCTCTCAATCGCAGTGAAATAGGGGATTCACTGTAAGTGTCAGTGAAAGACTGTTCAGCTATCACACACGCAGTAAAATTGTGCACAGCTTCTGTGTTTTTAAGTAGTTTAAGAGTTATAAATACTTGCGCTCGCCTCCCTCATTATAGTAAGCTACCGCAACATAAATAAATGAGATAAATGACGTCACTACATAATAATCGGTTATGATTATTACTGAACCGATACCGAATTGTCCAAGTCTGCATCGCGGTGCACCAAAGAAGCAATTAATTTTGCCACCTCTAGCTACCAGTCTATGTTAAAGTCTATGTCAGCATGATCAAAGAAATGTATTTGAAAAATCCTTGCCTCCCCACAACATACAAACACACTGAAATGAGTACTTTGTTTCTAACACAGAACAGATATAGAAAGACCAATCAAACCAGACTTGGCCAGCTGAGTAATAAGAGCAGAATTGACTTATGGAAACGGCATATTTTACCCAAAATGGAAAAAAAAAAAAAAAATCTCACTATTTGCTCACCCTCAAGTCGTTCCAATCTTTCATGCTTTTCTTTCTTCTGTTGAACACAAATAAAGATATAAGTAATTGGCTGCTGCTTTCCAACATTCTTTAATACACCTTAATTTGTGTTCAACAATAGAAAGAAACTCAAACTGATTTAGAAGAAGTGAGGGATTTTTAAATGATGTCACATGTCTCAAATTGATTGAATCAAAATCATAGCAACTTAACTCTAATATTAAATGAATATTTTGAGAACATTACAATAATTTCTAACCTAAACACTTGTTGAAGACGACTTTAGCCCAATGTTAGGACACTAAAATACCATATGATCTGCTTATGTAAAATCATAACTACAAGCTAGAGGGAAATACATTTGCTACAATATAAGTTATTTATTTATTTATTTATTTATTTTTTGCGTGCATTTGTCAATTCAGTTCAGTCCTTTTAGTTGTTGTTGTTGTTTGTTTATCTTACCTTCATGAGCTTGGTGTTTTTGGCCTGAAAAATGTTTGTGTCTCTGCTAAGCTGCTTCTTCAGTTTAATTATGACATTTTCATAGTGCTCCCTGTGTCTGCTGTTTTCCTTTGGCACATCTGTGTCCTCTCCTGGTTTCTCCACCTACAGTCCAACACCTCACATGATTGAGTAACTGGGGCTCAAAACAATACAAATATCAACTTCAGTATTTTGATATCTTACCACATCTGATGGCTGTACATATTTTTTGTAGAGCTCCTGGATGTTTTCCTTTAATCTTTGGGGGTCTTGGATGTATTTAACACATTTGTAAAGATCACCTTTGAATCTCTGTACCAGAACCCCTGTATCCTGCACCTAGAAACCATGGAATACTAATCAGTAGTGTAAAGACTGAAGTAGATCAGACAAAAATATTTGTTTTGTTTTTAATATAACGCAGAAATACTCCTAACCCAACTGACAAACCCAGCATCCAGGTAAAACCAGGCCACCATAATATTATTTCCTCTACAGTTCATTTACAGTATTTTTTTTTACAATGGCTATGACAGTTTTTTTTTTTAATACATTTAACAAGTTTCCTAAACTCTTAACGTAGTTAGCACAACATCAGTATTTGTTGGCTATAAAATTACCACATTTATTGTTGCTTTGACACAAAGTGCATTCAGTTAACACTAATTTAAAATGCTTAAACTTCTTTTACACACAAGCTCAACCAAGACCAAAGCAATGTAATTTTAAAGTCAAATTTACAAATGCTTTAACACAGTATGTCAGAACAGATAACCTTATGTTCTAAACAAAACTTATATAGGCTAAAGTCAATGTGAACAGCTGTTTATATTATGAATTGAAACACAAATATATTCCCTTATTTTATTCCATTGCCAATGAGAAACAGCTTATTGCAGTAATATATATATATATATATATATATATATATATATATATATATATATATATATATATATATATATATATCTCTCTCTGTGTATATATATATATATATATATATGTGTGTGTGTGTATAAAAGACACACACACACACACACACACACACATATATATATATATATATATATATATATATATATACACACACACACAGAGATATATATATATATATATATATATATATATATATATATATATATATATATATATATATATATATATATATATTACTGCAATAAGCTGTTTCTCATTGGCAATGGAATAAAATAAGGGAATATATTTGTGTTTCAATTCATAATATAAACAGCTGTTCACATTGACTTTAGCCTATATAAGTTTTGTTTAGAACATAAGGTTATCTGTTCTGACATACTGTGTTAAAGC